CAGACAGACAGACAGACAGACAGACAGACGACAGACAGACAGACAGACAGACAGACGACAGGCGACAGACAGACAGACAGATACACAAAGAAAGATATTCAAAGAAAGACATACAGACAAAGAAAGACATACAGACAAAGACAGACAGACGGACGGAGCGAAAGCGAGCGAGTGAGTTACGTAATCCGGGCGTCTGTGTCGCTTCCAACGGCGCTGCGTCCGGCGAGCCCAGCCTTGACCTTTCCGCCGATGACATTCCCAGAAAGCCACGTGAGTCAAAACTGTGAAATGAGAAACGTAAATGTTTTGAGTAAAGAATGGATCCAGGACTCACAGCTATTAAAGAGTTGTTTGGCATTGTGGGTTGTGGTGGTGGTGGTGGTGGTGGTGGGTGGGGGGCGGGGGTATATTTACAGAACAAATGACATGCTCGGGCGAACGGAGAGAGGTATATCGAGGCTTTCACCTTTTCACTTTTTTTTTTTCTTCGTCTGTTTACGTTTCATTTTTTCGTCTTTTGTTTAATTTTGTGTGGGTTTATGATGTTCTCTGTGTGCTGCTTACTTGATTTGATTTATTTATTTTTATTATTATTTATTATTATTCAAAGGTGATTTAGTCGCGTGATCAACAAGAAACGAGGGATATAGTTTTTTTTCTCGTCTCGGTAGTTTCACACGCGTTCGGCCGAAGATGGCGTGGCATTTGTAATAAAAGGTGCTTCCCTGCAGGAGGCGAAAAAAAAATGACTAGCTTGAACGTATTGTTTTTTTTTCTCTCTCTTTCTCTCTTTTTTTTTCTGTTTTTCTTTTTTCATTTCGTTGATCTTTCCTTTCTCTCACGGTTGACATTTTAAAACTGCTAGGAAAAGGCTGAGATGAATAAAAAAAAGAAAGAAAGAAAAAAGTGGATAGAGCTTGAGGGGCTGTTATGGGGCTGAGGCCATGTAGCGTGACAGAGGCGGGGGGGGGGGGGGGTTGAAGGGAGGGAGGGGAAGGAGAAGGAAGGGGGAAGGGGAGGAAAGGGAAAGGGAAGGGAAAGGGAAGGGAAGGGAAGGGAAGGGAAGGGGAGGAAAGGGAAGGGGGAAGGGGAGGAAAGGGAAGGGAAAGGGGAAGGGAAGGGAAAGGGGAAGGGAAGGGAAAGGGAAGGAAAGGGGAATAGGAGTAAAGAGGATTGGAAAGGGAGGAAATGAATAGGAGTGTAAAAATGGAATGAGGATGGAGATAAAGGGAAAGGGAGGAAAGGGAAAATGAAGGGGAGTGGGAGGGAAGAGAATGGGAATAGGAGAAAAAGTAAGGGGCATGGGAGGGAAGGGAAAGGGAATGGGGAAAGGGAAAAGGAAGGGAAGGGAAGGAGAATGGAGGAGAGGGAAGAGGAAGAGGAAGGGAAGGGGAAGGGGAAGGGGATGAAGATGAAGGGAAGAGGAATAGAGGGAAAAAGAGGAAGGGGAGGGAAGAGAAGGTGAATGGGAGAAAGGGAAGAGGAATAGAAGTTAAAGGGAAAGGAAGGGAAGGGGACTGGGAGAAAGGGAAGATGAATAGAAGGAAAAAAGAGGAAGTGGAGAGAAGGTGAAAAAAAGGAGAGGAGAGGACAGGGCAGTAGAGAATGGGAGGGAAGAGAAGTAAAGGAAAAGGAAGGGGATGTTGATGGGATGGGATGGGGGGGAGGGGGAGGGGGAGGGGGAAGGAATTGAGGAATTAGAGAGGGGAGAGAGGGGCAGGAAAAGAAAATAAAGAAAGAAAAGATGAAAGGGATAAGAAGGAAGAGAGGGGAGGGAGAAGAAGGGGTTGGGGGGAAGGGAAGGGAAGAGAAGGGAGAAGGAGAGAGAGAGGGTGGAAATTAGAGAAAAGGAAAGGAAAATAATTTGAAATGGAAGGGATAGGAAAAGAGAGTAGTAGGAATGGAAGGGAGAGAGGAAGAAGAGAGTGGGAGGGAAGGAGAGAGAATGGAGTGAAAGTTACGGGGGAGAAAAAAATAGATAAGAAAAAAAATCAGGAAGAGGGAGAAGAAAGGCAGAGAGAAGGGAAGGGGAAGAAGAAAGAAGTAAACGGACCAGAAGAAAAATGGGAAGGAAGAGAAGTGGAGAAGAGGGGAGCGAAGTGAAGAGAAAAGGGAATGGGTGAGAAGAGAAGGGAAGGGAAAGAAGTGGAAGGAAGAAAAGAGAAGTGAGCTGAACGGAAGGCGAAGGAAGAGAAGGGAAAGAAAAGGGTGCGAAGGGAATGGAAGGGAAGGCAAAGGAAGCGAGAAAGGAATAACGGTAAGGAAAAGAAAGGAGGGGAAGGGAAGAGAAGGGAAGGGAAGGGAATGGAGGGGTAGGAAAGGGAAGGGAAGGGAAGAGAAGGGAAGGGAAGGGAAGGGGGCCCTCGATAGACCGCCGTGGTATTGGGAAGTGGGTGTGTAGGTATGGGAAGGCCGCGGCGGTATTGGCAGTGCTGGTTTTGATCCCCGAAAAGATATGACTGGACCGCCGATGGGGATTTGGGGGCCCCCCCTTCCCCTCCCCCTCCCCCGATCCCCACCCGCTGATCTCGTGGCATCCGGGTGAGTTATGGCCGGTTTTATTCCCCGTTTCGCTTATATTTATGTCTTCGGGAACCTTAACAACGTAATTGCGGAGGTGATGGATCGGGATGCAACGCGGGGAGGGGACGGGGAAAGCTCCCATCGCGGCGGAGGCGGCGGAGGCTACGGCCGGGGCGGGGCTGGTAGGACGGGAGGGGCGGGGGTGCTGGGGGGGGGCTCTCACCTGCGCGCCTCATTTTTTTTCTTTCTTTTTTTTCCCTTTCTTTCTCTCTTTCTTTTTATGGGGAGGAATGGAAGAGAATGGAGATCAGAAGGCCGGCGAAATGTAGGATTGAAGATAGTGTTCTCGACGCTTGACCATCCCTTGAACAGGAGAGAAAAAAATGACGATAACGTTGAAATGGAATAGATATATATTTTTTCTCTTTTTTCTTAAGCAAACGTTCTTCGAAGATGGAAAGGATAGCGATATGATGATAATTAGAATATGAGTCGGGTCTCTCTAATGCAAACCCCAGGGAAAAGGCACGCCGTTTTTACCGCTCGCCCCACAAGGAAGGCGAACAAAGGAGGAAATAAGAAATGTGTAATGGCCTCGAGTGTGTCTCTTTCGGCGGCGGCCCTCGGGAAGGTCTCCAGCCGGGCGCCGAGATGGATCGCGTCGAGGGCGGCCCGAGAGCGGAGGGGGGGGGGGGGGGGGGGGGGGAGGGGGCGTCAATGACCTGTTGATCTATCGGCCCGTCGGTCAATCGGGCACGGCTCAGGGCGGATCAGGGACAGTGCAAGGCCAGGAGCCATTGTTGTGGAGGCCTGGACACCCCGCCGGTGCTGCGTCACGGGGAGGGGGCCGATGGGGGGAGGGGGAGTTGATGGGGGAGGGGAGAGAATGGGGGAAGAGGTGAGGGAGGGGGGGGAGGATGAGTCGATGGGGAGGTGAGGGAAGGGGGTGAGATGCTGGGGAAGATGAGGGAAGGGAGTTGATGGGGGAGGGGAGAGAATGGGGGAAGAGGTGAAGGAGGTGGGAGTTGATGGGGAGGTGAGGGAAGGGGAAGGGGACGAGTTAATGGGGAGGTGAGAGAAGGGAAGAAGTACGAGTTGATGGGGAGGTGAGGGAAGGGGAGGACGAGGAGTTGATGGGAAGGGAGAGACGTGAGTTGGTAGAGGAGGAGGACGAGTTGAAGGGAGAGGAGAGGGAAAGGAAAGGGAAGTCGATGAAGGAAGAGATGAGAAGAAGGATTAGTTGATGAGGGAGGAGGAATTAATGAAGGAAGAGATGGGAAGGTAGAAAAGGAATGGCCAAGGGGAAGGAAAAATAACGTGGAACGGGATGAAGAAAGGGAGAAGGAGAAGTAAAAGCAAAGGAGAGGGAAAGGGGAAAGAAGTAGATTCGAGTGAAGGTAGAAAGGGATGTGGGAAGGAGAATCAGGAAAGGGGAAAGAGGATGGATTAAGGGAATGAGAAAGGAAATGAGGAAGAGGATGAATTAAAGGAATAAGGAAATGAGGAAGAGGAGGAATTATGGGAATAAGAAAAGAAATGAGGAAGAGGATGAATTAAGGGAATGAGAAAGGAAATGAGGAAGAGGATGAATTAAGGGAATAAGAAAGGAAATGAGGAAGAGGATGTGTTAAGGGGAGAACAACGGGAAGAAAATGGATTAGCCGAGAGGTGAAGGAGGAGGAAGGGGGGGGGGGTAAATTGAGGGGAGAGGTGAAGGGAAGGGAGGAGAAGGAAAGGGGAAGGGTGGTGAGTGGATGGGGGGGGGGAAGAAAAAGGAGAGGGAGGGGTAGGAGGGGGAAGGAGGGTAGGCGGAGGGGGAAGGAGGGGTGTTTTTTAGAGGGTATGAGCTGAGGGGGGGGGGATGAGGAGGCAATTATGATTTCTGTGGTCAAGGTTTATGTTGAAAATTTTATCTTTATGTGACGTAACCGTTTCGCAGCGTGCAGATGTGATTAAAAAAATCCTTTTGTTTATGTTCTGCCATCATCAGTGATTATCATCATCATTTCTTCCTCTCCCTCTTCTTACTCTTGTTCCTCTTCCTCTTTTCCCTCTGTTTCCCCTCTTTCTCCTTCCCTCCCCTGGCCCCTCGCCCTTCTTTGCCACCTCCATCTCTTTCCATCCATCCATCCATTCCTCCTTTCTCTCCTTTTTTTTGTAAAATGAAGACATAAGGAAAGGAAAAAGTTTTTTTTTTTTTTTACTCCGAAAATGAAGAGCCCGTCCTCCGTAAACGTGGCTGGCGAGGAGGCCTTCGCAGGAGATTTATGGCTCGCTATAAAGGGCCGCCTGAAATACGGCCACCGCATGATCACCAATTTGGATTTCGTCTTACCCCCCCCCCCCCTCTCTCTCTCTCTCTCTCTCTC